AAAAACATTCGGCATCAACCTAACAACTTTTAAAGTATAGTTCTTTAATTGCTCCAGATTGGAACAAAATGAATAACAGTTGACATTTAAACCTGGAAATAATACATCAGTGCGTAACTTCTTTATGTTGTCATAACATTAAAACGTATGAATATCTTACTCAAATGACGAGGTCGAATTTGTTAGCCAGCATGACGTAAAAATGACGAATCAAAGAATTCAACTTTATATATAACTAATGTAGGACAATGCAGGCCCTTTTGTTTTCCACATAATTGTACAATAAATGAAGCTTACCTTAAGTTGAAATTTGATTGTAATTTTGTTGAACCTATTCATGCTGAGGGTTAACATAGGTCTCATGGTAATCTCAGCATATAGGTTCAATGAAATTAATATTACCAATAGTTAACAAGTTCCAGATGGAATCCGATACCGATACCAGTAGTATATGTTACATGAAGTTTCAGTTTGCAACACATCATCATGACAAATGAGTTGAAGGTTCAAAGCAAGGAAAAACTTTTCAAGTAAGAAGCCAACTCAGTTGAAGTGAAAAGTAATGCTTACAGTGTAGGGTTGTACTGATGACCAACACACGCCCCCTGTTTTACCTGAATGGACATGACAAATTCAGACACCGAATCCTAAAGGAATTATAATATAAATAGATGATTTGGGGACTTGAACTGTTGAAATGTTCAAGGACAGGTCCTTTCATTTAAAGCCAATAAAGGATACATTATTCAACATGTCTGTCCGTCGGTCTTCCTGTCCGTCCGTCCATCTGTAACATTTGTAGATATAACCATGTACTCTATGTATTGAAGTGAAACTTCTACAACAAACTTAATATCAACTCTACTGTTTGTAGTTGTGCACAATGGTTTCAGTTTTTTTCACTGGGGTCCGAATGGGGGTGGTTGAAGGGGCGGGTCCATAAAATTAATGGGATCTGCAACTCCTTTGTATATTTTGAAATTGTTTGTGCACTATGGCATTAGGTCTGTAAGGTGATTTTTTCAGGGGTATTTGATCAAAAGTTTTGTCATCTCCTACTACACAGTATGGAACCATCTCATCAAAGAAAAATAGTAATAGTTCAGAGCAAGTTCCTGATAGACTTTCCTATTTAGAGATTTGATATTCAGGGATAGACAAGATATTTTAAATTGCACATTGAATATTTACAATTAAAACACCCTGGAGAATACCCTTAATATTTTCAGAACATTTCATTAGACTACATCCAAAACGTTCATTAAAAAATAACTGAATCACTCGGTAAAAACACAGCACAATCATGGGCTATTACTAGTATATTAGTAATAGTACAATTACACGTACAATGTATCCTTGTGTCACCAGTTTTCAGCCTAATATCACTTTTCACTTCTCAACATTACCATAGCGTATTTTTCATTCCTTCTTACAGACTGGAATTAGAAAAGAATATCCTTTCAAAAAATTTTATGTTCCTTTATTACTGCGTTTTTTAAAGATTCTAATTCTATTGATAATTAAGAAAACTGCGGTCCTATTATTGAACGACCCTTGTTTATTGAAATTTATGTTTTGAAAGATCGCTTTTTTTTGTGATTTCATATATGAATAAAAAAAATATATGTGTATGCCTCCGCTGCTACGGGAAAGGGGCATAAAGTATTGCTTGTTTTCTTCTGTCCGTCCAGTACGTCCCCAAAATTGGTTTCCGTTCTCTTATCTTTAGCTTTCCTCAACTAAATATTATAAAACTTAATACACAATGTTTATGATCACAAAATACAGATCAAGTTTTGAAATTGGGTTGCATCACTTTTACTGTTTTTAAGTTATGCTCCTTTATAAAAATAAAAAATGCTGAACTTTTCGTTTCTGTTTCTGTTTTCTAACTTTAGTTTGCCTAAACCTAATATTATGAAACTAATATACAATGCTTATTACCACATAACACAGATCAGGGATTTGGGTGGTTTCACATTTAACGGTCTTTAGCTATTTACAGTCCCTTTATTAATGGACAAATTGCTAAATCTATAAAACTTATACACAATGCTTATTACTACAAAACACAGATGAAGTTTGAAATTGGGTGGCGTCACTATTACCGCTCTTATGTTACGCCCTTTTATACGTATTTGGCACAACTTTTTTTGGAATTTTGGATCCTCAATGCTCTTCAACTTTGTATTTGTTTGGCTTTCTAACTATTTTGATCTGAGCGTCACTGAAGAGTCTTATGTAGACGAAACGCGCGTCTGGCGATTCAAATTATAAGCTTGGTACCTTGGATAATTATATAAACCTAAAAATTAATGAATGTTTCGTTTCAATTCTCTAACTTTAGTTTGCCTTAACCCACTTTTATAAAACTTATACACAATGCTTATAATCACAAAATACAATCAAGTTCAAAATTGGGTGGCGTCACTTTTACCGTCCATGAGTTATGCTCCTTAATAAAATCATATGCAAGCGGGGGCATCCGTATAACATTGACACATTCTCCATTTTTTTTAATTCTAAAGAGTCAAAATAGGATGAACGGATTATATAAACCGGAGGGAAAATATAATACAAGCCCAAACGAAATAAATATAAATATGTCAAAATTGAAAACAACGTAAAATTCAAGAGTCTATTCTAAATTGAGGTAAAATAATTGGCGTTCCAAATACTTTTCGATCCCCAACATCACTGAAGAGACATTAATTGTCGAAATCCGGATATGGTGTAAAAAATTTAGCACCTCATGCTGTGGTTTACCATCTTTGCCGCAAGTTTATCGTTTTCTACTTGGTATTAAATTAATATAGAGATCCATTTTGTTACACCTTGTGATCAATTTATTTGGCAATCGTCAATGGCAGTCAGCAGGGTTTAATAACATCAGTTGTTCGACCTGTTAGTCAAATGCGTTTTGTTAAATTATATTTTTTCACTCTTTTTGTCTTTTGGAAAATGTTGTTTGTGCTGTATTTAGACCCCTCTACAACGAAATTTGTTACATGCACACGTATAAAAATTGCGGTTTTTATCCAACGCAATCATAGGTTTGAACGTTGTTTTCAATTTAGACTTGTTTATATTTATTTCGTTTGGGCTTGTATTATATTTTCTCTCCGGTTATTAAATCCGTTCATCCTATTTTGCATCTTCGCTAGCCAAGGGTTACGATCCATTTTCCTCCTCTCCACCCTAGGCGGATTAAGCCAACATTTGTGATAACAATGTTGCGCCATCTATCGGTAGATTAAAGTCACGCCCATTCCGAATACATTACTCTTGACCAATGGTAGCACTTGAACTCTTCAATTTGGAGGTAAAAACACGGTAGCGTCTAGATTCTACACACTTGGTAAAGCAGGAAACGAAAATATACGTTGACATTCATGCATTTGTGCAAGAAACATACACAGGAATTTCTATTAGTTGATTAAAAACATTCAAATTGTCACTAAATATAGTTGTATGTTTAGGGATGTAAAGACTTGTTGCACAATAAGCACGTGGCAATTGTTTACATACACTTTCTACATTTACACGTGATCATGTTATAGGCGCTTTTTGATTGGATGCAGCGAGTTTCGACTGCAACCAATAAAAATCATTACCGTGTGTCTCCGAAATTCTATCTCAATCCGCCAAGGGTATAGTGGAGGGAAATGGATCGTAACCCTTGGCTAGCGAAGATGCCTATTTTTACTCTAAAATTCAAGTGTCTATCCTAAATTGAGGTAAATTAAATGGCCTTCCAAATACTTTTCGATCCCTAACATCACTGAAGAGACATTAATTGTCGAAATCCGGATATGGTGTAAAAAAATTTAGCACCTCATGTTGTGGTTTACCATCTTTGCCGCAAGTTTATTGTTTTCTACTTGGCATTGAATAAATATAGAGATCCATTTTGTTACACCTTGTGATCAATTTATTTGGCAATCGTCAATGGCAGTCAGCAGGGTTTAAGAACATCAGTTGTTAGTCAAATGCGATTTGTTAAATTATATTTTTTCACTCTTTTTGTCTTTTGGAAAATGTTGATTGTTCTGTATTTATACCCCTCTACAACGAAATTTGTTACATGCACACGTATAAAAAGTGCGGTTTTTATCCAACGCAATCATAGGTTTGAACGTTGTTTTCAATTTATACTTGTTTATATATATTATTAGATATATAAGATGAAAGTTATATCATATATCATATACAGGTCGCACTTAACCTTTGCAGCAATTTTAATTACTATATAAACACCAAACCCATCTATTGTTTGACACTTGTTGAATAATCTTCAAATGTTGTAAAACAGTGAATGAACCATCTGGGTTACACAATGACAATATCATTTTCGATCTACATTTGAGCAAATGTGTCTATCATTTCCACTAATGACGAAATTATCTTCGACGGCCTTTCTGATATTCGATCTGAGCTTTCTTTTTGCATGCATAATACATATGATACTATGGGAAATCCCGCTTTTGGTCAGTTTTTAAAAATTAAATTAGCGGAAATGTATGTTTGCCTTTTCTGATGTGTGGTTTATTTTATGAAACATCCGTTGTTTAGTATGAAAAGTCTTCTATAAAATTGAAAACAACAGTTCATAAACTTATAAAGGCAGTCATAACATAAATTGTGACATAAGAATAATATAAAAACAAAGAAACATAAAGTATTCTAATATGACGTTCTTCAAACGCTTTGAGTAGAGCTGTCCATATCTTACTCCCACGACGTTTGCTTTTTATGAACGAATTACCCGAGGTCAGACGGTGTAAATGACGTCATTGAACGATGACGTAAGAATATAATAATTCTACGGGAAAATGCATAAACATAAACAAACAATGATAAGAATTTGTTGAAAGCCCATATTCTTGAATAAAAGTAAGATAATCCATCAATTTTGTCCAAACCTGTCTTAGTATGTTATTGTGAATCATTTAAGTATGTCTTTTATTCAGTTTTATATGTTGTAGAAACATACATCTTGATGATGTCAGTTTTAGAGAAATGAACGGAAACTTTATATAATATATATATGATGGTACAGGAAGGAATCGCTAGTCATGAATCATGTGTACAATTACCCATTTTATATATTTTGATTAAACGCTATGTCCTATCAAGTGACAATTTTATTTCTGACATGTTTAAGACTGCATTTTGCCAAGTAGAAAAGAAGTGCACAAACTCCGCATATGACGGTGTATACCAATATTGATGATAGAGTGATTGGACTAGTGCTGCTGTCTGGAAATAAAAATGAAAGTATTAAAATGTTATTTGTCACAAAAATTAGCCAAATGAAATAAAGGAAAACTTGTATTGGCCTATTCTACATTCAGTTTACTACCTCGATTTCCCCATGGGACATTATTGAAACATATTAATTCACCGCTGATTATGAAGATATTAATCCTTCTAAATAGGCCTCGATGGACGAGTTTTCTAAGTATTTCATTTGCTGTATCACTAGCCAGTCAAGACTGAAGTTGTGAGTTCAAACTACGCACTGGCAGGTGCGTTTGCTTCAATCTTAATAAACTAGGACCATAGTCATTTTTCCTTCCGAAAATTCGTGGTTCCCACCAGGCACTTCGGCTTCCCCGAACCAATAATACTGACCGCAACGATATAGTCAATAATGCTGAAAGTGGCATTCAACAGCAACGATCAATCAAGCGACCTCAACAAAATGACATATGATAGTAAGTAGATTTAAATTTCTTTCAATACTGGCTAAAGTAGTAAACAATATCAAATTTTAAGAAGGGGATATTATTTGAAGAAAGATCTCACTATTCATGAATTAAAAGCAACAAGGAAAAGTTCTTGAGTAACTTTTGCTATTCGTTGTAAAGTTTCGTTTTTTTCTAGCAAAAGTATTAAAGCAGCACATGAACACTGGGTACATATAACATCCGAGTTCTCCACTTAATTGGCTAAAATCATCGTTTAAATTTCGTTTTATATGCAATGTTTGCTAAGCTTTTTGTCTTTTTTGAATTTTTAACCGTCATTATTTGATTCTTGGTTGGTGATTTTGGTTTTATTAGCTCTTCAAACTTTGTATGAGCTAGGCTTGTGGATTTTCGAATATATTTGCCGCGAGCATCAGAGATATAAATTGTCTAAATGAGCATCTAATGTAGTAAAATTGGTTTTTTTCATTTTTTTTTTTATCAACCAAACTATCAAACCTTTCACAATGTAGGTGAACATTTTGCAATAAGTTGATATCTGTGTTGTTTTTTAGTTATGGAATTATTTTTCAGATTCGATTGAATACGGTTATCTAATTTAATCTGAGAACGTTAACTGCGTTTATCAGCAAACCATTAAAACTTGATAACAATCAGTTCAAGTATATAAAATCATTGCATTATAAATATATAAACCAAAACCCGATGACCTGTTACATATTTTTTGTATACTACCATAAACAATTTTGAAAAGCAGTTCAAAATACTAATCATAATTTATGCATCACAATTCATCAAACGAGTTACCTAGCATATAAATAAGAGACAACATACGTTAATTTACAGTAGTATACCGATGTTCAAATCTCGTGAATCATGCAAACCCAAGGGAACATCATTTCTCTATCCTGGGCGTTTTTGCATTTATTTGTACTGTATTCCTGTCACGTAATGTTGTCATTTTAACGGTATTTGTAACATTGCCATATTAGCGGGAGGTTTGGCTAGCCATAAAACCAGGTTCAACCTACAATTTGTTTTCTTAAAATGTCCTCTACCAAGTCAGGAATATTGCAGTTGTTATCAAATAGTCCGTTTCTATGTATGTTGGCGTTTGTTTTTGTTGTAGGTCAGTGTTGCTGTTGTTCCTTTGTTTTCCTCTTATAGTTGATGTGTTTCCTTCGGTTTTAGATTGAAACCCGGATTAGTTTTCGCTTAATCAATTTATGACTATTGAACAGCGGTATTCTATTATTGCCTTTAATTATGAACTCCAAACAGGAATATACCGGGTGCATCGACAGAGTAGCGTCTCCTGCTATGTAAGCTTCATCCGCCATGCGAAACCACTGTCAGTCAAAATGTCAGAAGTGAGCGACTGCTTGCATGACTTGCATGCCATCACGAGTTCAGATGCTCAACTTGTTAACAATTATTTCTTAAATTTTTACGATTTACATTAAGAGTTCGCCTGAAAAGAATTGTTGACATTTAAAAATTTGTCAGTGTTAGGTCTGCATTTAGTATATCTAATGATCTAAAATGACTGACCATTTATCTGGAAGTTGAAAGTACAATTCTTGTTTCCATACTTGTTTTCCAAATTCATAACTAAAGCCTTAATATTTTGAAAAAGTTTTGCACTGACTGTTACTCTGATAACATATCCTGCTATCATAAAAGATCTGTTACAAGATTATATGCTAAAGTAATTATCTTGAACAAGCAAATTGTACATAGAGCAGTTGATGAAAGTGTTGTACATATTATCGAGGCATTTCAAATACAGATGTCCACTAGGGTTGTAGACATTAAACGAAATACTTATATCCTCGTTTATGGACGATGTAATTTGACTGTTGTCATGCAAACATTCTGGTTGGCCTGAAAATACAAACAACGTACGTTTACTGTTTAACCGTGAAATATATTATCACTCAGGACACCCCTGAAATTACGTGACTGTCACAATAACTTTCAAAGAAAAAAGATTTATAAAATCTACAACGAATTCTAATAATCTTTATTATTATAAATTTTAAAAGTGTGCATAATTTGCCCTTTATTTTTGTTTCCTTTTTGAATGTTTAATTCAAATTATTAACAACAATACATGTATGTCAGCGTTTTGTTACTTATAGTTGCACAACATCGAAATCAACATTGCTAGACATATGTGGTAAGTTTACTACAAATACATTGTTTCAAGAATAACTTAAGATATGATATAAATTTTGTCACGCATAGATCTATATCTCTATTACAGCATAAATAAAAATCAATTTACTGGTAATCCTCTTTTTTGTACTTATCACACTGCTGACAAATCTTATGAACATACCTTCAACAAATAACAATATGGAAGTCTGAACATTGAAGAATTCGTTGTCAGCTGCACATGTAAAACAGTTTAAATGGTCGTCTTTTTAGGGTACAAACAAGTGTTCAAGCATCGACGTATTCGTGACATTTACCACTTGTTCTTGATATGATAAATATAACGTCGGTCCTGGTAAGCCGTCTTCAACGTAGCACCTTACTTTTAACGGTATCCCTTCTTCTCCAGTTAATATGTCTGAACTGTTATCACTGACCAGTGTGAGATCTGCTGGGCTTTCTAGAACATGTTACTATATTATTTCAGATTCATATTCACCTTTAGCATAAGAAATTCAAATTTCGTTAATCAGACTAATTTAATATATAGAGTAAAAAGTTGCGCTATGATCGCCTATGAGACAACTATCCATCATGAGAACACAGTAAAAGGATACAATAACAATGGGTCAACAGACGGTCTCCAATAATAATAATGATAATAATATTAAAACAATAAAGAATATGTGTTTCGGATGATGATGATGATAACGATGATTATGATAATGATGATGATGGGGAGGAGGAGGATGGTGGTTTGTGATGATGATGATGATGATGATGATGATGATGATGATGATGATGATGATGATGATGATGATGATGATGATGATGATGATGATGATGATGATGATGATGATGATGATGATGAGGAGGAGGAGGAGGAGGAGGAGGAGGAGGAGGAGTGTTGTGATGATGATTATGATGATGATGATGGTGATGATGACGATGGTGATGATGATGATTATGATTACCTGCTATAATTACTGTTATTGCATATTCCATTAGTTTCTTGTCTTTAACAGTGTTGCACCGGTAAAGGCCCTGGTTGTTCTTTGAGAACATTTCAATCTTCAATATGTTTTGGCTTTTCTCATTTTTGGTTATGAATGCTTTGTGTTTGATATTGGTTAGTTTTCCATTTATTGTCTTGTTAATTCCATATACCATCAAATTAGGTGGACCTCGCCATACTATTGATTGTTCTTCTTCCAAGAATGGACATACTAAAAGGACCGATGCGTTTTCTTTCACAGAAATAACATCACTTGAGACTTCTGTATAGAAACAAAGACACAATTTGAATATAGTGTTGTAGGTTGATAATAAAGCTAATAAAATAGTCAGCTATATTTTCTCGTAAACAGTTTTGTAATATATAAAAGGAGGATTGCGAAGGAGGAGAGGATAACGAGCTTTGTGTTTATGTTTTTATTTATGTCTTCCTTCTATGTCTTTCGTTTGCGTGAATGTCCTTTTGTGATTAATTATAATATGCTTGAAAAGTAAGCTCATGTGTAATGAAGGACAAAGATAACTTCATTTATTGTATATAATAAAAATTCCCACAGAACGTAACGAAAAGTTATCGTACAATGGTGCAAATATAATTTCAAACTATTACCAGGGACAAAATGTGTTTTAAAGAGCTTTTCAAGCTTTGCTATACAATAAAAGGATAGTTGCATGCATGTATATTAGTGAATACCATCCCTTGTAGAATATATATTGCACTCGCAGGCTCAAATAATATAAAAATCTATTTGCGACAATTATAGTCACCAATATTCATGCAATAACCCCATATTATTCCATTTCAGTTTTTCATCATAATTTATGATTATAATATCATTTCAAAATAACTCGAAAGTTTACTTTTCAATTAGCACACACTTATAATTTAAATTCCAGCAAATATAGTTTAAAGTCAGACTAGGGATTCTGTTATGTCATTTATCTAATAGTAAAAGTTCATGTAAAATGTGTCACTTTACCGCAAATATGATATATCAGTACCAGGCAGAAAGGCAAAATCACGATCCATCTGTGCACCATCATGTCATTAAAAGTCTAAAAAAATACACACAAAACACAACTTCTTTGTTTGGAGTACATAAGATAAGAAAACGCTTGTACCAAGTCAGGAATATGTCAGTTGTTGTCCATTCGTTCGATGTGTCTTTTTTCTCATAAAACTCTGAAAAATTACATCTGAGTAGATACTCTTTTAAATATGTGCCCTTTTAACTAATGTAATGTTATTTCAAGTATTCAAATTATTTATTTTTTTACAATAACAGGATTCACGAAGATGTAACAAGTTGCCGATTTCAAAGTATATGTAAGTGAATGATAATCCCCTCATTATCTTACTAACTTATAATATTGTAAAGTGTTCAAGGCTCAAATGATCTCTTGATTTTTTTTTTTTATAAAGAATGAGTTTCATTGTCAGAGCAATGTTTATCATTAATGCATGACTCCTTTTGTATGCATTTCATGTATCATGAATTAGTCTGAATCACATAAGGACTGTCTTGTTATCTGGGAAATTATGATACATTGTGTTTAAGATATAAGATGACACATTTTGTAAGCGTATTAGTTCAAGGTTATCTTTAATTTTAAAAGTTTTTTTTGCATTACTTTGATATTGATTGGTTTTTTATCAGTTATTTTGAAGTTATTAAGATTCATATAACATGATTGCATTGTACATTGTACATGTTGTTATATTAATTGTATAAAAAATAAGTATCATTATGTATAAGTATGTCTTGCTTTTAGAGCTTTGAGGTTACAGTTTTTACCTCACTATTATTGTGCATGCCCAAATTATAAAAAGCTTGTATTTCTTTTGCAAGCTAGCTCAAGGAATGTGTGTGTAAATTTCTAAATGCGGCATGGATGATAAGATCACAAATTATAATAGCATAACAGTTGATGGTAATATACGAAGCTGATGTTATAAAATCGTGTTGACAAATGTTTCGGCTGAACAAATAGCCTTCGTCAGTGTCAATGGTTAACAACACCCATTTTGTCACTATCCACATAATAGCAAAACATGAGTCATCACTTAAGTGTTTTAACCTGCAGTCTTTGTGCTTTATGAGGATCTGAAGTGTCTTTAAAAAATTATGACGTAAAATACAAAACTGTAAATTAGTAACAACTTATATTTGTATATATTTTCAGTTCATTTATGAATATGCTCATTAAGAAAATAATGATTACCCAATAAACACTGACAAGACATTTTTACATTTAAGTTGTAAGACTTTGTAAGATGTAACACAACCAAATCGGGCCCAAGCTGTATTTGACCAACATTTCGGAATTTTTGGTCCTCGGTGCTCTTCAACTTCGTACTTTATTTGGCCTTTTTAACGTTTTTGATTCGAGCGTCGTTGGTAAGTCTTTTGTAGACGAAACGTTCGTCTGGCATACAAAATTTCAATCCTGGTATCAATGATGAGTGTATTTGCAGTATCTATATTTACAGATAGTAAGATGATACAACGGGGATAATTAAAATTTCAAATTAAGAGGGACAGAAAACAATGGAAAATGCCATAACCGAAATTAACAACCGAACTCCAAGGCATTTAATATCTTAGAAATATGGAAGTTAGGATTTGAAAAAATTGTTGTCATCTCTTTTGTCATAAAAGTAAGTTTTCAACTGACCCTTACTTCGATGTCTAGAAAACCATACATAAAGGTGTGCGGATACACTGTACTACACCTTACATAAACGTCAACTATTTTAATATTTTAGACTTTACGGTAAATACAAGAATATATTTTTTTCATTCTCTTTAAAATACACTGCTCTGTATAAAGTCTGCCTTTTATGAATAAGGAAGAACATTTGGTTCCTATAGACAGGTTCCAACAGAAAATATAGAATCGACAGGCGTTAATTAAATTTTTAATATCAAAAAGATTTAAATCCAAAAATATTCAAATACTTGTAAGAAATAATGATTAACATTCAGACAAAGCCCAAAGCTTCATTCTTCTGAACTTCTCTCGGGGAGGATAAATTATGCTTGTTGAAATTGAAAAATCGGATGTTTTCCATCTTGTCTTATTAAACATGAAGAAGTATTTATTTAAAATCTGCTTTTTATGAGTTATGAAACATGAATTACAAACTAGGTCTTGTATATAAATATAATATCGAGTGATATACCAACTATCTTTCGGCATATCTATCTATAACATTCGAGGAATACGATATCTATTCTTCGGTGTGTTGTAACTTAAATCGTGTAGGTTTGAAGTAAGTATGGTTTTGCCCGAGCTATGTCAGAAATCCTTTTTTTTTCATTGATATACTCGAAGTATCTATGGCAAGTCATTTTCGTCAAACTAAATAACATATTGAAAATTAATCATACACTGAGATTAAAAAATGAGAAAAAACACACAAGAAATTTAAAAATTCACGCTGAGAATCGTGCGCACATTATATGCGAATATACGTAATTAGCTTAATAAGGGTGTATTTGTATATGTATCTGAGGTTAACCATGGTTACCCAAAAGTAATTTATAATTCTCAACGTGGCTTTTTAAGTTTCCTTAATCTCAGTGCTAAATTTGTTTTCTTCGAAATATGGATTAACCATTTGACGAGAACCGCTTGTCATGAACTTTTTGTACAATGATTCTTATGTAATTCAGATATGCAACTCAAAGAACAATGATCTACTATTTTTCTATAAAGAGAAAAGGAGAAATGAACAAATCATAATGTACTAAATGTTCTTCTTGATTAGTTAATACATTGAATTACATCCATGACGTGTTGATTCCAACATCCTTAACGAGGTATTCAAGTTATTAAAAACCAAAACAATCCCTTTGTATTTGATTGTGTTAGAAATACTGTATCATAGACAACGACCTCATGGTCTTTAATTTTCTTATAATGCACAAAACAAACACCATAACATTCATTAACAAGCATAAAATAAAACGCGAATTGATAAGGCATCATGAAAAGTTGTATGTTATACTTTTTTTTTTGATTCATTTGATAACACACATTGATTTAAATTTTTTTCATTATTTCAGGGGAGAATTTACACGTACAACTAACAATAAAAATACCCCAGTGATTATGACTTTTTAAACAAAAAACGAATATTGATCTAATATGAAAAAACGATCATGCACCAAAATGATGCATTATACACTTACGTTATATAATGGAGCGTCCCTATCTGTTTGTCCTCACTTTTATAATTATCAGTTAAATAGCAAACGCACAGGAAGGAAAACAATATTCAATTTTATTGACCTTTTTGAATGCTAACGCGGAAACTCTATTTCCTTGTGATTAAGTTATAATTTAAAAAAAAATATTATTGGCTTGAACATTTTTGTATTGAATTATTTATTATTGTAACTAACCATGCTTGTTGAAAGAAAAAAAAGGATTTTCATCATACGTACTGAGAACCTGGCACCGATAAGGTCTTCTTTTATTGATGTTTTATTTCAATGAAATAAAACTTTAACGACATTGTTCAATGGAATGTATATATGAAAATAAATTGGCTATCAGTCTACTTTATACAACTTTCAAAAGGTTACTACGATATATTCTCTATAATATATCAAATGTGATGGTACTCTAAAGGATGTTTGCATACCCCAATCGAGATGTTTACCGCTTATGTGTGATGCTCACTACCAAGTAGTTGGTGTATATTAGTGGGTTGGTCAGGTACGGCTGTTCAGGTCAGGTTCGTGTTACTTAGTCTTTAGTTTTCTATGTTGTGTCATCTGTACTATCATTTGTCTATATGTCTTTTTATTTTTGGCCATGGCGTTGTCAATTTGATTTCGATCTTTGAGTTTGACTGTTCCTCTGGTATCTTTCATCCCTCTCTCTTCTAAGGAGTGAGAGATTATGTTTTGGCACATCTCAGTAAATACCTTACGCACGTGCATGTTAACACAATACGGACTTCATTAACAGGGATGTTGTCATAACACCAACATTGGTCCAACAGAGTAATGAGGAAGAACGACTGAAATCGACACTACATAAGATTTACGGTCACCATCACGAATTGTTTGACCAATACGGTGTGACTCAACTCACAAGCGACATGTCTTCGCGGTCTTAGCTCTTTAGAGACCAGTATAGTCGTCTGATCGTCATTTTGCCAATTTATCACCCGGTTGTGACATTTTGACTGCGTGTGAATTTACTTGACGGGTGATGCATGCATAGCAGGATCGCTTACACTGTCTATGCATCGGATATCGCTCATTTTGGTGTCCATAGGATTCCCTAAGAGTTTGTTTGATATCTTGATCTGTCTCTTCTTATATAACCATAAATATTAATCAAGAGCCCAAAAATGTAACGATGAAAGATTAAATTTTAACTAAATTCTACCAATACATTCATACCAAGGTAAATGCAAACAACAACATTGCTATACCAACGATTCCATGTTTAAAATCCTTTCAGACTTCATGTCCTGTCTTTAATAATAACATTAGTGTAGAACTATTGGAATCATATGAAGCAGAGATTGGACCAGAATCCCCTACTTTATCTCAAAATTGACTACGGTGTCAATTAAGTAAATTTCAATAGGTGAATTTCTTCTGTTGAACAATACTCTCCAACTTTAGTACGTTTATGGTTGCAGGACATAGTATTTCTTCATCATACTAGAAATTCAATCTTGTCTCATTAAACATGCAGAACTATTTGTTTAAAATCGGCTTTTTATGAGTTATGAAACATTAAACGGCAAACTATGTCTTGTGTATAAATAAAATATCGAGTGATATACCAACTATCTTTCGGCATTTCTATCCATAACATTCGACGAATACGATGTCTATTCTTGTGTGTGTTGTAACTGAAATCATGTAGATTTGAAGTAAGTATGGTTTTGTCCGATCTATGACAGAAATCGTTTTTTACATTGATAACGATGAACCATGAACGATCAATTCTTATTTAATTCTTTTTGAATCCGACTTGCTGCAAATGAAGTTCTGATTATAATTGACATCTGAACCACATTATAAAAAAAGACAAATTAAGATTTGAAACTTGTTTTTTCTTTACTTTCGTTTCTTATTTCCGGCTTAATGGTACATTTTTTGTTGAAACGAACAAGCGTTAACGTCAAAATACCGTTACATTTCTCTTACTGTTATACACAGTTTAGTGTGCTAAAACATTGGACTTTGGCGACTATAAATTTGTTATGTTTTCTTTAATTTCTATAAAGCAAAACTGGCTTTTACAAATATGATTGGAAACCAGGTGCAGTTATCACCGGTATTTAAGAGATTTCTGGATATAAATGACACTTTATTTGGTCATAATGAACGAACAGATTCCTTAAAGAACTAGGTAGGTGGAATTATGTTGATAGATATGATTGAAAATGTAGTTTTTGTATGTTTGATTTCATTTTTTGCTGGAATGACCGTATTTGATGACAATAAGATATAATATTGGATGATTAATGTTGGGCACGTGTAAATATATCAAAGTTTAAACAACTGATGACCCACTAGAACAAAAAATCAGAGATCAAAAATAATAAGTAAATATTTAAAGTGCGTAAACAAACACGAGGGTTCTCATCGCTAAAATGTAGCATGTTTGAAAACACTGTAATGTATATAAATAATTTAAAATACATGCATTGCACAATTTATTAAATATTTGCATCTTTCTGCATATCCAATGGATCTCTAATGGTTAATGAGATAAAGATACCGAGATATAGTACCATAATCCTTTATTTTCCTTTCAGATAAACAAATAATTACCTTCAAACCAAATACTTCTTATTTCCTCATTTCAATTTTTTTTTAATGTTGGTCACAGATGAAAGCCTAAATTCTAGTATCTATACAAATGCATGTTATATATGTATTTGTGCACTTCCAATTTCATGAAGAAATGTATTTATTTTTTTTTCGTGATGTGGCCCTTTAGTAGAAAGGGAAAGTCTACCAGCAGTGTGGTGCACAAAAAAGAGTGTAACGAAAATTTCATTATCAACAATTGTTTTAATTCATCAAATATAACGAAAACAATGTGTCATTTGTATGAACTATCATTCCTACAATTAGTATATAATTGTTCTTTTTCTAACACATTTAAAAATGCATCCTGATACACAAATTACTAGTGCAGAAAACCCACAGACGACTGTATATGTTGTTATGAATGACATGGAACTAGTGCTTGAAATTATCAAATAAATAATATTAAGATAAGGTAGATACATTCTATAAGCTATATTATACCTTTATCATTATTCAATTAATTTTATGTTGGTCAATTCAATTATCATTTTCTGCAATAACATTGTCATGTTGTACTTTGTCACACAATAATCATTCATTAATTATTCATTCAGTCGATATGCTGTTGATATCCATTGAAAACGCGCGACGCAAAATATTGATAATTCAGGAATAAAGAGTAGTCATGCACATACCGCAAGGAGGAAGTAACGGGAGAAAACACGCCTTCTTAAGATTAATTTGATTTTCGGTAGGGCGTGTAAACGGACATTGTAGAAAGTTGTAGAAAATAATATGTGCATTGGGAACATCTAACAAGTAAGTTACAAATGAGTATATTGTTTAAACATGCAGATAAATATCAAATGGTAAAAATTGATAAGAACAGTCGTAGTGTGTCATTTGTTTACATAGGTATTTTTTTTTCTTCAAACATTGCTTATCACAACCTTAAACGTTATGAAAAAGGGGAGAAAGTAACCAAAGGGAAATTTTAATTCATGTCGAAAACAAATAACCCCATTGCAAAAAACGAAAAAACAACCTCGTCATCTGTGAAAGAGATATTCAATAACGGGCAACCAACTCGTAAAGTATTTGAAGGAATGAGTTCACCTTCACCAATTCGAACTCTTGGTTTAATAACGTCCTTTTAAGCTGCAACCCTCTATCACGGAAATCATAATATGACATGAAAGCTCTAGAATATCGTATCAACTGGGAGATATATACTCCAGATGGAGACGCTGTTGGAATGTTGCTACATGAAAAGTTCACAAACTGAAATAATCTCTTTTGTAGTAAAATTTTGTTCTCGGCCAATCTTTATTGTTAATTTCTAGATCTAAGTCAAAATATGAGGCATACTTAATTGTATCTGTTAAATCCTTTATTTTAAGTTCGATGAGATAGATGCGTTGAACAAAGTTACTAAACTTTAAATAATTTAGTGATAGGACACTATCTATATAGCGGAACGTGAAGTTTAATGAATGATAATACTACTTTCTTTTCTATCTTTCTAAGAAGAACCTGTATGAAGTCTGCTAATAATATTTAATTAACCATTTAACTGTTTATAACAATATATGTATTCCATCAAATGGTTTTCGTTCTTTTTTCACACAAAAAAATAAGTCTCAACCGAATCTTAATTATTTCTAAATCGGCAAAATGACTTACCATCTGGCTGTAGTTCGTGTTGTGTTATATAATTTATTATCAAAACAATGTGTACAATATATTGAAAAGCTGAAGTTTTATGTATTTATAAAAAAAACAATATTACAGATTAACACTAAAGATTCGGGGTATAAGTATTTATTGCATAAAACAACGTTTACAATATCACGAATTAATATATAACACTTTGTACGTACTTGGGATTCGGTCTGTCCAGCTTGTATTAGAGATTATTTTCGCCCAGCTTGTTGAATTATCAAACATCCAGATGACGTAGGTCCAAATATATCTAGGAAGAAAAAAAAAGTAGAAAAACTAATCCAAGATTTAAGATTTTAAATATGCGGATAAGTGCGTTGACTGCAAGTATATATTATTTTTATAAACCATGCACCAAGATGAAATAAAAATAAAATTGCTAACAATTGCAGTCGTATAGTATTCTTCATGTAAGATATTCATCAAGTAACTTATCAATGTAAACTAATGGGACGAGGAAATGAGAAAATAATGCTACCACAAACCGAATTAATCAATGTTACGACATTCCATGACTAACATGTCTGTAGTATATCCGACATGAGGGTCGTAGCTTCGTTGAAATAATTACTTCGTCGGTAGCCTCTCTTATGGTATTCTGAACATGAAATATCACTGAAACGGTCATTACCGTAAATGTTCTGTTTTATAACATTTTGAATATTCGAAGCACTTAGGTTTTTCTACATATGACATAAGTCGTATTAGTAGAACTTTCGGGATTTT